CATACCTGGTGCCTAATTGTTAAATTGGAATGATCTACAATATATGAATAATTTATCCATTTTTCCAATAACCACGCTTGGACGAATACAGTAATTATAATTATACCAAATTTCATAGAAATCAGTCCACCAATTGGAATTGGAATACATAAAGGATAAACAGAGAGAAATCCATTTCTATAGATATAGCTTTATTATATAGATCTGTTTGTCAAACATGCATTCCTAAATGGCTGGACTGATTGCAACAAAATTTGGTACAGAGATATATTAAACCTATGGGCAGAAGATAGGTTAAAAAGTGCTTGAGGCGTACAACTACCAATCAATATTTTTTGGGGAGGCGTAATTTAAGAGGTAGAATTTTTTATGGACTATGAAGTGTACAGTTAAAAAAAACAATTAAGGGATATATTATGTTATAATAATATAATAATAATAATAAGCAACTATCACTAATAGCAACCATTTATAAATAAACAAAAATGTCCATAGTAAATCTCAAAATGTCTGTTTGAGCACCTCCCGAGGTTGGGCCTTTTAAATTAGCCTATTATCTGCCCATAAGTCTATATAATATATCTCTGTACTAAATTTTGTCGCAATCGGTCCAGCCGTTTAGGAATGCATTAAGGACAAACAAACAGACAGAAATCCATTTATATATACATAGAAGATAGATAGATGATAATTGTAATTACATAGTAAATACTGACTGGCTATTTAATAACATTAAAAATTAAAAATYAATAAATTTTAAAGTAGAAATATATAGTAAGGAATTTCGATTTTTAATATCAAATAAATTATCTATACTATAATTTAATGGCAAATACCATTAATTAACATTTAGATGATAAACTACATGTTATATTTTTAATAAATATACAATTTGAATAATTTTACCACCATGAAACGTGTTAGTTGGAAATCAAATTAAGTGAGCCAACTATAAAAATTAAAAATTATAAGTTACAATCAACAAAATKAATATGTTATTGTAATAAAATATCTTGTATAATGAAAAAATAAGTTAACAATGAAATCTAAGATAAATGTTAAATTTTTATATAATGTGACTCAAAACTAATCAATTTAAATATTTATCATCATCATGACAAATTTCAGCAC